TCCTCCCCAAAGGCCCTATCCGGTTCCACACGCATGCTGCGAATCCCACACTGACATGGGAGAAGGACATCGAGTGGCTGAAGGAGCAGTGCCACCCTGAGATGCAAGTTTGGGTCAAGGGAATCGCGACCGGTGAGGATGCACTGCTCGCTTGCCACCATGGCGTGGATGGCATCGTTGTCTCGAACCATGGCGGACGCCAGCTAAATGGTGCATTGGCGACCATCGATGCGTTACCCGAGGTAGTACAAGCCGTGAGGAGTCAGGAGAAGAAGATCCCTGTGCACGTCGACGGCGGCATAAGACATGGCACGGACGTGTTCAAGGCGCTGGCGCTTGGTGCGGACTTTGTGTGGATAGGCCGGCCGATTCTGTGGGGGTTGGCCTACAAGGGCCAGGAGGGTGTTGAGCTGGCATTGCAGCTGATTCGGGACGAGTTCAAGCTGTGCATGGGGCTTGCTGGAGTCACGAGCGTTAAAGATATTGGGCCGGAGTATCTGGTGAAGATTGACAAGAGCGGATTCACAAGTCGCCTTTAGTTGTATATCAATAGTAACATTACCTCGCTGCAGCCCAAATCCCTAAACCAACCCCATCGGTGGGGACTCATACACATCGAAGGGGCTATTGAATGTACTTTACAGCAACGCTGTAGTATGGAGGATCGAGGCTCAACCTGCTAGAGATACTTTTGAGACTGGTACGTGTCAGACTCGCAATGGGTCTGGCTAGGTTTGTCATACATGCTTGACGCACTAGATGGCGCTGTGAAGTCGAATCTGGGTTGCACTTGAGATTAGTGTATGGGTGCTTGCGAAGGTCAAGTGAAACCCCCCCCCCCCTTGCCGAAAAAATACACTTCTTAAGACTGAGCATGATACATAGTAATCAGCAAAACAACGTGGGTATCGAATAACTCACTTTGAGGCTCTAAGACAAACAGTGAAGATATGTAGTTGACACTCTTGGGTCTGGTGTGGAGAGAAAGTGTTGAAGGGAGGATACCCGGCATAGCAGAGTAACTCTGGCGTTGTAAGGAGTGCCTGATTACACTAACCCACACCTTTGCAGCCACTAGTTATCCTACCCTATCTCCGCGAGGAGAAATTTAAGAGTAGTTTGAGGGTGTTGCCCGGGCTTTTACACACTACCGATTCGATTAGCTTCGAACTGTGGTACTAGTCTGCCTTTTACAGTAACTAGACAAAAGTCTGTTCGCTCAGCCTGCACAGACCTCCAACACCACTTTTGAGCCGCATTTTGAAGTGACTTTTCTCCACCAAAACAAGACCAATTTTGATAATTTTTGAAGATAATTAAAGCTAAATACTCAGTATTTTGTTTGGTAACCCTTAGCGTTAATGCAGGCTTGGTGGCGCTTTGGCATTGAGTGAATCAGCTTCTTGACAAAGCTATCGGGTATAGCCAACCACGCCTCCTTTAAACCTTCACAAAATCGATCCCACTCCTCCTGTGAGTCACCCAGAGTGTCAAGCTCGGGGTGTAATTGATGCAGCTTCCTCTTAAGAGCCCACCACATGTGCTCAATTGGGTTGAGATCTGGGGAGTAGGGGGGGTGTTCAATCACCCAGATACCGTGTAACTCCAGCCACTCTTTTGTGTACTTTGACGTGTGTATACGCGCGTTATCCTGCATAAACCTCTGCCCGTGAGAGTACTGAGGTAATAGGCCCTCTTCAAGCGCCTCACAATAGCTCAACGAGGAGTAGCCTCTGCGTGGTGCGTCAGGATCCCTCACCATAACCACGAGCGGAGACCTCCCCACCCTACCCCCCGGAGTACACCAAATTGAGCCCCAAACCATCTGCTGTTTGGGCCTGCCAGAGTCCTTCTCCGTCACCTTATTGTGGTCAAATTGCTCACTAGGAAACCCAAAGCTCCACTCAGCAGTCTTGCCTGAACCTCGCGCAACGGAGCACTCATCAGAGAACTTCACCGTTACCCTCTTGTAGTTGAAATCCTTCCACGCCTCAGAGTAGGCGCACCTTAGCTTTGACGTAGCCTTGTTGATCCTTGGCCTGCGCCGCGATCTAAAGTTCTTGAGGCTAATTTGAGTGAGCGCGCGGTATATGGTCCTCCGAGAGACTGTGGGGTGGTCGTGATTGAGTGGCCAGACTCCAACGTGGTACATAAGGTCGCGATACTCAATTTTTGGGTATTTACGCGTGTAACGAAGAAGAAGACGCTTCTGGCGACGCGTGAGTATAGCTGGGCGGCCTGTACGAGGCGCGGTAGTGGTGCTGCCTGTAAGAGTCCATCTCTTCCATACTTTTTGGACGACGCGTTGCGAGCAGCTAAGCTCATTGGCGATCTCTTTGGTACGTACACCAGCCTCCACCTTCGTAATTATATAATCGCGTTGGCGATCTAAAAGCTGACCCCCTTTCACACGATTACCTGAAATTTCAGCTCCAAAATACCTCATTGTGGTGGTGTATCGCGTGGTTAAATTGAGAGCGTTGCTCGCGCGATCGCGTTGGTGGGGAGTGCACGGCCCTTAGGCGAACAGATTAAAGTCCTAGTACTGTA